GGCGAGAAGAGGAAGCTGCCGGAGAACCTGACACTGGAGGACGCCAAGCGGCTCCGCGTAATGGGCGACATCCCCATGGAGCTGGTCAACGAGGTCATGCTCACCATCACTGACCCCGCGGCCATGCTGGGGCCTGAGGTAGGCAGCGCCACCGACTGACCCGCGGCCGAAGGGCTCATCCTGACCCGCCCCCCCCCCCCCCAGCTCAGCGGCCCCCTTTTGCTACACAGACAAGCCTGCTGTCGGCCAACGCTGCCCGGGACGAGACAGCTCGCCTGGAGGAGCGCCGTGGCATCATCGAGTTCCATGTCATCGGCAACTCCCTCACACCCAAGGCCAACCGGCGGGTGCTGCTCTGGCTCGTGGGGCTGCAGAACGTCTTCTCTCACCAGCTGCCGCGCATGCCCAAGGAGTACATTGCCCGCCTCGTCTTCGACCCGTGGGTCCCCCAGGAGCACCCAGTCATGTTCAGGGCACCACCGCGGGCACCTCCCCCTCCCGCACTCCTCAACCCTCGGGCATTCTTGCTCCTCAGTTCCCTGCATGGAGCCCAGTTCCGTCCTCCAGGGCTGGGGGAAACTGAGGAGCACTCAGGGGACAGGCCGGCAGGGCCGTGAACTGACCCTTGTCCCTGCAGGAAGCACAAGACTCTGGCCTTAATCAAGGACGGGCGCGTCATTGGTGGAATCTGTTTCCGGATGTTCCCCACCCAGGGCTTCACCGAGATTGTCTTCTGCGCTGTCACCTCCAACGAGCAGGTCAAGGTAAATGGTGTAGGCCCCTGGCCCACCTGCCTCTGGGCATGGGGGTGTGGCAGCCCCACCCCTTCCTTTACTGGCCAGGCAGTTCCTCATGTCCCCACAAGGTGGCGGCCATACTTCGGTAGCTCTCTTAGGAAGAACACCTGTGACAGACTGCCACAGGGGCTGGAGATAGGACAGCCAGCAGGGCGCTTGCCTTGCTGACCCGGGTTCAATCCCCCGCATCCCCTATGGTTCCCTAATCACCACCAGGAGTGATCTCTGAGCACTGCTGGGTATCACGCCCAAACCTTTTTTTTAAGGAAAAACCCAGCACTACCTTTTTTCCTTTCCTTTTTTAATCCCCTCTGACCTCCCTTTCCCTTTCTTTTGTTTCTGGGCTGGGGGGCTGGGGGAAATCACACCTGCTGAGCTGTGTGTGCTGGAGCACTCACACACACCAGGGCTTCCTGTGGTTCTCCCTTCTTAGCTGCGGGGCCTGCTTGTGTGCTCTCTGGTGGCGGCGCACAAGTCATGGTTGTACTTGCCATGAGTCACATCCCTCCCTCTGGTGCTTACACTTTCCTGAGTATGGGGGAGCTGGAATACACTTGGGGTGCCGGGGATGGCAGGGCTACACAAATTGCATTGCACATGTAGGCTGCCAGGATTCAAACTGGTGGGGGCCCGGAGGATAGTACAGCAGGTAGGGCATTTGCCTTGCAAGCAGCTGACCAGGGTTCAATCCCTGGCATCCCATACGGTCCCCTGAGCACTGTCATTACTGAGCAATTACTGAGTGCAATTACTGAGTGCAGAGCCAGGAGTAACCCCTGATCATCATCAGGTGTGACCCAAAAAACCAAAAAAAAAAAATAGATTTTACCCTATGCTTGCAAAGTCTCCTAAGTATATTTTGTATATTCTTGTAAAAGTATACAGAGAGTATACGCTTTTGCAAAGAGTATACAAAGTGCGCTCCTCTTTACTTTGCTCAAGGTATCCTAAGCAAGTAATTTTTTTTTTTTGGACTGTGCTCTGAGCTCACTCCTGGCTGTGCCCCCGAGAATTATTCCCACAGTGCTGAGGTTCTCCTATGTGCACAGCCCAGATCTGCTGTCTCCTGTGTCCAGCATGTGTGAGAGGCTGCATCTCTTTAGGGTTCCAACGCTGTGATGAGCAGGCCTTCTACCTTCCCCTCCCTGCCCAGCTCTGTGGCTCAGACCTGGGTGCTGGGGTCTTGGGGCCAGCAGCTTTCTGATGGGCTGGTTTCTGGCATTGCCGCCCTTGGACACATTTTCTGTGTAACTGAACTTAATTTTAGCTACTGTAACATGGAGGCAGTACTTCCTTGCTTCATTGGTTAACTTAACCACTGGTCCTTAGAGTTCCCAGCATCACTCCTAGCCCAGAGCAAGGGCTTAGAGATTAAGCACCCTTCCCTCTGGCTCCACATAAACTCTGTTGGCCACCACTGCCCTGGGTGGCCCCACCTCTGCCTCCTATGACCTCTGACCCTCCCCCGCAGGGCTACGGAACCCACCTGATGAACCACCTGAAGGAATACCACATCAAGCACAACATCCTCTACTTCCTCACCTATGCCGACGAGTATGCCATCGGCTACTTCAAAAAGCAGGTGACTCTTTGCTGCTATGCCTGCCTCGGCTGTCATGCTTCCTGGTGCTGGACTAGAAGTCCTGTCCTGTCCCCCTGTCCAAGGGAAGTCCTTTTTGGCCACCCTCCCTGGTGCTGCAGGGGATGGGGTGGGGGCTGGAGGGCAGGGCAGGCTTCTGAGGCCCCTGTGATGAGTCGGTGAGCAGCTGACTTGGAACTTTTCCAGGGGGAGATCGGTGCCAGGTCACTGGAGGGGTGTGTGTCCCCTCCTCCAGCCAGGGGGAGGGGACAGGCTCTGGGACTCCTGAAGAAGATGGACTAGATGGTAACTCCCTCTCCAGGGCTTCTCCAAGGACATCAAGGTGCCCAAGAGCCGCTATTTGGGCTACATCAAGGACTACGAGGGCGCCACGTTAATGGAGTGTGAGCTAAATCCTAGGATCCCCTACACAGAGCTGTCACACATCATCAAGAAACAGAAGGAGGTACTCAGTGTGTGCCATGCATGTCCATGTATGCATCCGTGTGTCAGTGCATGTCTGTATGCGTTTCTGTGTCCATGTCTTTGTGTTCGTGCATCCATGTCTGTATATGTGTCTTGTGTCCATAAATGTCTGTGTTTGTATCTGTGTGTCCATGGATGCCTGTATGATTTCTTGTATCCAGAATTGTCTGTGTATGCATCCGTGTGTGTCCATGGATGTCTGTGTGTCCATGGGTGTCTGTGTGCATCCTTGTGTCTATGCATCCATGTGTGTCCATGGATGTCTGTATGCATCCATGCATGTCTGTGTATGCATCCATGTGTGTCCTTGTGTCCACTAATGTATGTGCAGTCTGTGTGTGTACATGCGCGTGTCCTTGTATGTGCATGTTCGTGTGTCTCATCATGCTCGTGTCTGTTTGTGTGTATGTCCATGTGTCCTTGCCAGTGTGTGCACGGAGTTAAGCACAGGGTACCAGCCAGGTGGCAGTTCAGGCCCTGCCTGGCTGGGGGTTAGGTTGGTGCGGGGCCCACAGACTCGCCTTTCCTCAGATCATCAAGAAGCTGATTGAGCGAAAACAGGCCCAGATCCGGAAGGTCTACCCTGGACTCAGCTGCTTCAAGGAGGGCGTGAGGCAGATCCCCGTGGAGAGTGTCCCCGGCATCCGTGAGCAGGGGTCTTGGGGTGCGTGTGTGTGGGGGGGTGACCCACTGCAGGGTCAGAATAGGGCGTCTCAGCCCACCTTCTCCCCCTTCCCACTTTGCAGGAGAAACAGGCTGGAAACCACTGGGGAAGGAGAAGGGGTGAGTGTGGGAGCCAGGGAGGGCTCTGGGAGAGACGGAAGGGCAGGGAGCCTCAGACGTGGCCCCTTTCACCCCAGGAAAGAGCTGAAGGACCCGGACCAGCTCTACACAACCCTCAAAAACCTGTTGGCGCAGATCAAGGTGGGGACACCAGGCGTCCCTTCGCTGTGTGTGTGTGGGGGGGGGGGGGGGCGTGCTTGCACCAGTGTCTGGGGGCAGAGGGAGCAGCCCAGCAGGGCTGGCCCCGACTCTGCTCTGCCCTGCAGTCCCACCCCAGTGCCTGGCCCTTCATGGAGCCCGTGAAGAAGTCCGAGGCGCCCGACTACTACGAGGTCATCCGCTTCCCCATCGGTGAGGAGGCTGCGCACGGGGGTCCCGCGTCGTGGCCCCCCTCCCCCCCACAACCCCCCCGCCGCCCCGACGACGCCTTGATGCCCTCCCGCCCGCAGACCTGAAGACCATGACGGAGCGACTGCGCAGCCGCTACTACGTGACCCGGAAGCTGTTCGTGGCCGACCTGCAGCGGGTCATCGCCAACTGCCGCGAGTACAACCCGCCCGACAGCGAGTACTGCCGCTGCGCCAGCGCGCTCGAGAAGTTCTTCTACTTCAAGCTCAAGGAGGGCGGCCTCATCGACAAGTAGCCCCCGAGTTGCGCCCCGCCGCCCCATGGCGCCCGGCCGCCCCCCGTCGGCTGCCCGCGCCCACCGCCCCGGCGCCGCCGCCCGGCGCCTGCCGCGCCCCTGAGCCCGCCGGACTGTCCGTTTCCTCCCGCCCGAGTGAGGGGGCTTCTGGGGTGGAAGCCCGCCCGGACCGGAGGGGGGCGCCCACCTCCCCTGCACTGTTCTGTCGGTCTCCCCAGGGTGGGGGGACATGGGGACCATTTATTTTCTGGCATTATAATCCCTTGGAGGGAACAATAAAGAGCTCTTCTTTTTTTTTTTTTTCCCTTTTTTTTCCTTACTTTTCTTTTTTTGGCTGCTTCTCCTCTTGTGTGACTTTCTTGAGTGGTGTCCCCAGCCTTAACCGGCTGCCCCCTCTCTCACCAGCACCGGGCAGGGGGAACGGGACGGAGGGCGGGGGGAGGGGCGGACCCTCGTGCCTTCCCCCCACCCGCCCGTCCTTTGTGAGTCACGGGTGCGCCGAACCTCGCAGCTGACCCCCCCACTTCCCCAGAGTGGACTGCGCTGGGTGGGGCTGGAGCCCGCGGGAGGGGCGGGGAGAGCCCTGGGCACCGCCCGCTCGTGCTCTCCTTCCGTGCTCTCCTCTGCAGCTGTCAGCCTGCCAAGGCCTCTGCTGGCTCGGCCCCGCCCCTTCTGAGTTTTAGTTTCCTTTTCCCAGCAGCAGCGTTCAGTGGTTTTTCGGCACCGCGCACCGGGCAAGCCTAGAGCAGCTGCCCTGCTGCCAATGGAGGTGTGCAGGTGAGACCTGGCCTGGGTAGGGGTTGGGGAAGCCCTGTCACTCCGCCTGTTGAGTGACCACTGGGTGTCCTGGCGGAGCAGGCTTGAGAGAGAGGAGATCAGGGCACTAGGACTGGGGTCCCAAGCCGGCCAGGAGGTCTGAGCTCCTTTGCTGTTCCCAGCATGGCTCTGCGTCCCTACCAGTGGGAAGTGATCATGCCCGCCCTGGAGGGCAAGAATATTATCATCTGGCTGCCCACGGGTGCCGGGAAGACCCGGGCAGCCGCCTACGTGGCCAGGAAGCATCTAGAGACTGTGGACAGAGCCAAGGTGGTTGTATTGGTCAACAGGGTAAGTGGCCTGCCTGCCGCACGGCTTCATTCAACCCCTTAGAGCATCCCGGGGTTGTCACCTCTGCTCTTCTGCCCTTCCAATCACTGCCTTCCCCGTCTGCGCTCCTACCCACCGCGGCTTTTCTCCCTGTCCACCTCCAGGTGCATCTGGTGACCCAGCATCTTGAGGAATTTAGTCGAATGCTGGACAAACGCTGGTCTATCGCAACCCTGAGCGGGGACATGGGGCCACGACCTGGCTTTGGCCACCTGGCCAGGAAAAATGACCTCCTGATCTGCACAGCTGAGCTGCTGCAGATGGCGCTTAGCAGCCAGGAACAGGAGGAACACGTGGAGCTCAATGGTGAGGGCTACGGGCGGGTGCCAGGGTCCCCTGAGCATTCATCCCTGCTGCCAGTCCGGGCCAAGCCAACTTTCCTTTTTTAGGACACGGTGGAATGGAGGGGTTCCCTATTCCCCAGACCCCAGCAACCAGTCGCGTAGAAATAGACTTACTACAGCGGCTTCCCAGCTGAGGCTCTGTTTACTGACGCAGCGGGCGGAGGTCCAAACAGCGAGAGCGTGAACTGTGGGGGTTACCTTTGCAAGCAAGGTCACAGCCTGCCCCCATGTGTCCCCAGACTTCTCCCTGCTCGTGGTGGATGAATGTCACCACACGCACAAAGGCACCGTCTACAACGTCATCCTGAGCCGGTACCTGGAGCAGAAACTCTGCGGGGTGCAGCGCCTGCCCCAGGTTCTGGGTCTCACAGCGTCTCCAGGCACCGGAGGGGCCAGCACGCTCAAAGGGGCCATCGAGCACATCCTGCAGGTGAGCCACCCTCCTCCCTCCTCCTGCCACCAACTGTCCAGCTGCCCTCCTGGGCCCCCCTCGGCAGGGTCAAGCCCCTTCCTCACCTAGTATCCTCTGGTTTTCTTGTTTTTCTGGGTTTGGGAGGGCGAGGGAGGACACTGGCCTGTGCTCAGGGGTTACTCTGGGATCTGCATCCAGGAATCACTCCTAGTAGGGCTTGTGGAACTATATGGGGTCCTGGTGATTGGACCAGGGTTAGCTGCGTGTGGAGCAAGTGGCCCTCTTGCTGTGCTATCTCCCCAGACCATCTCATTCTACTTTACTCTCCTCAAGGCTCAGTGACTCTCTAAAACCCTCTCCTCACTGCCTTCCTTCAGCCCCTAGTGACTGGTGATGTCCCCAGTCCCCAGAGCAGCGCCTGGCCCAGACAGGGAAGACACCTAGTGGTTGAGTGAACCAGTCGCACTCCCTGTGGCCCTGTGTAGGTTCTCATTTCCTTGGTGGGGAACCACTTGCCCGACAGCTCTGCCCTTTTGCTCCATGGGACACCCCATCCCCTTTCCAGTGACCATCTGTTGTCCTTTCCCCACTAGCTCTGTGCCAACCTGGATACACAGCACATCATGTCACCCCAGAAGAGTCTTCCTGAGCTGCAGGAACACAACCACCAGCCCTGTAAGAAGTACGACCTCTGCCACAGTCGCAGTCAGGTGTGTGGGAGAGAGAGGAAGTGGGCTCTGGGCCAAGGGGACACCCCAACTGCATCCTCACTGGCTCTGTGACTTCAGGTACTTGCTTACGTAGTGGAGCCTCAGTTACCCCTTGCTGCGGCAATCTTAAAACCCCGGGCACCCCATAGAGCACCCATTTCCAACCACCCGTCCACAGACCGGTGGCTATCTATCACTGTAGGCAGGTTGAAAACCACTGGTTGTACCACCATGGTTTAACTGCCAGCCCGTGGACCCATCTGCAGGATCGTGCCAGTCCAAAAATGTGAGAAGGTTGAAGCATGCTGCTGCTGAGTACTTTCTCCTGAGGCCATTCCACTCTCCCTCCCAGCTGTGCTGGCTGTAATCAGACCCCTCTGGGTGCAGGCTGGAAGTCAGTGTGGAGGTGGAGCAGGGCCTTTCCACCCACCCTAGCTGCTCTTCCTGGAGCTGGCTTCTCTCCTCTACAGGCTGGGTACTGTGGGGAGCCTTCAAGTGGGGAACAGCACCCCCTCCCTGTGCCCATTCCCTGCAAGCATGCAGGAATGACCCCCCCACCACCACTCACCACTCTACTAGGACCCCTTTGGGGACATGCTGAAGAACCTCATGGACCAAATCCATGACCATGTGGAGATGCCCAAGCTGAGTCGGGACTTCGGGACGCAGGGCTATGAGCAGCAGGTGATGGAGCTGATGCGAAATGGTGAGAAACGGCACGTAGGTGGAGGGTGAGGCAGCGGGGTTGTGCTGGGCAGACCAGAGAGGAGCCTTCTGGTGGGGGAGGCACAGCGAGCAGGGCTCAGGAATCACTCCTAGTGGTGCTCAGGGACCAGATGGATCAAATCCGATGAGCCCCGTGCAAGGCAAATGCCCTAACCGCTGTACTATGCTCCCGCCCCAGCAAAGAGTGGGTAAAGGCTAGGCCAGTGTACTGGACACTCTCCAGGATGTTCCAGGGCGGCTACAGGTGAAAATGGTCAGGGCAAAATGGCTTGCAGGGAGTTGGGAGGGAGGAGGGAGGGGCTAAAGTGGATGAATCCCTATAGCCAAGTGCTTCTCGGGCACAGAGCAAAGTGGAGGGCACATGGTGGGCGTGGCCCCGTGGTAGGGGTGGAGAGGCTCCATCAGAAATTGCTCTTTTTGCTGACCCACAGCTGCGCAGGCCGGGCTTCTCGAACGGCGGGTGCTCGCGCTCCACCTGCGGCACTACAATGACGCCTTGCTCATCCACGGAACAGTCCGCGCTGTGGATGCTCTGGCCACACTGCAGGATTTCTATGACAGGGAGCGCGCCACGAAGACCCGGGTCCTGCATGCTGAGCGCTGGCTGATGGAACTTTTCACTGGTGAGGTGCAGCCATTTAGAAATGGATGGGCAGGTCAGAGGGCAGCCGGGGTTCTGATGCCAGTGCTGGTTGGAAGCTGAGAGGGTACTCTTTCCAGTCAAAGGCCAAGGCTGTTGACACAGATGTGTCCTTCCCTTACGAAGGTTTGGATACACATAAAAACTAATCCAAGTTACCAACAGAGATTATAAAAGCCATTGACTGCCCCTGAAAGCCATGGGCCGCTGGTACCTTTGACATGCAGAGGTGGCCAGAGGGTAAAGGCAAGCCTGCTCCAGCCCCGTCTGGAGAGGCAGAGGTCAGCCTGAGATCGAGTCAGCTTGGGCCACACAGCTCATCATGGAAATGTATCCTGGCACCTGGAGTATGAACCTGGATTTGGCTCTTCAGGCACTCGGGGGGAGCCCTGACGCCCTGAGGGGGTCCTAAAGGTGCTCTGGGGGGTTCTTTGTGGGGGTCTAGACAGGACAGTCCGCTCAGGGCTCGTGGACTCCTGCAAAGCCTTGCCCTCCTGGCCTGAGCACTGTGTTTTGGGTGCTTCTGGCAGACCACAGGCGTGAGCTGACTCGCCTGGCGCAGTGTGGCCCAGAGAATCCCAAACTGGAGATGCTGGAACAGATCCTGCAGGAGCAGTTTGGGAACCAGGGTAGGCCTCAAGGCCTCATCTTCACCCGAACCCGCCAGAGTGCTCACTCGCTCCTGCTCTGGCTCCAGCAGCAGCCTGGCCTGCAGACCCTGGACATCAGGGCCGAGCTGCTCATCGGGGCAGGCAACAGCAGCCAGAACACCCACATGACCCAGGTGTGGGCGCCGTGGTAGGACTGGGAAGCAGGGGCCGCTCCTTAGGAAGCAAGGGAGAAACAGGGTAATTGACAGTGACCCAGGGACAAGGGGGAATCACCTACCATTCCCGGGCAGAGTGGAGGAGAGCTGGGAGAAGAGGTGGACACTGAGGTCACTAGTCTGGGGGTCTGTGAGGAAAGAGGTGAGTGATGTATTTCCTAGGGGGCTGGGGAATCCTTGCAGATCATGTTCTGAAGGATCCTAGGTCGGGGCACAGAACCCCTTAGGGGTCCCAAGGAGAGAATTGTTTAGAGGTGACTGGGAAGATGGGTGAGATCCTGGGGACTCTTGGACACACAGCTGGAGAGTTGGGGTCCCTAGTCAAAGGGCTGCACCCAGAGAGGCCGGGCTGGCAGGACCCACTCTTGTACCATGCACTTTCTCTCCTCCCCACAGAAGGGGCAGCAGGAAGTGATCCAGAAATTCAGGCAAGGCATACTGAACCTCCTGGTGGCCACCAGTGTGGCAGAGGAGGGACTGGACATTCCCCAGTGCAATGTGGTCGTGCGCTACGGCCTCCTCACCAACGAGATCTCCATGGTCCAGGTACCCATGGCCGCTGCCCCGCAGCCTAGAGGATTCGGTGTGGTTCCGTAGACCTGCTCAGGACTCTCCCTTGCTGTCCCCTCCAGGCCAGAGGCCGAGCCCGGGCCAGCCAGAGCTTGTACACCTTTGTGGCCACCAAGGGGAGCCGGGAGCTGCAGCGGGAGCAGACCAATGAGGTGCTGGAGGCGCTGATGGAGCAGGCGGTGGCGACTGTGCAGAAAATGGACAGAGCCAAGTTTCAGGCCAAGGTATGTGGGCAGTGTGGCAGACTGCAGGGGCTAGACGAGGGAGATGGGTGCCGAGGACCCTCTGGCTGCCTTTCCCTGCATGTCCCTCCGTTTTCTCTTCCTCCTGGGGGAAGTGGAGTCTGCTTGTGAAAGGTTCAAACAGAGGCAGGGCAGAGATTGAGGGAGAGTGATGGAGCCAGGAAGCTGACGGCTGTTTCCCAGTGCACCCTGTGACCAGGCCTGGACCAGGGATTGTTCTTATTCGTTTGTCTTTTGATTTTTGGAACCAAATCATTCCACAACCAGGACTTAAACCCATTCCCCATCATTCAGCTTCACCAAGAACAGTCCCTGTTAACTTTAGTGGTCCTAGTGATTGGTGATGCTCCATGTTAAATTCAAAGCAGTGACTTGAGGTACCAGAGGGCAAGCCAGGCTGGGAGCTCTGGGAGTGGCCCCTAAATCCCAACCCAGATAAATCCAGCAGCAGCTTCGGCCCAGTGGTAGATTGGTGGGTGAAGCCCGAGCTTCCATTCCCTGGCACTGAAAAAATAATTTGAAGTGATAGCTTTGGTGCATGAAATTGTCCAATTAGGACTTAGAGGGGCTGGAGCAATATAGTACAGCGGGGAGGGCTTTTTTTGCCTGCATTCTACCCGGGTTCAATACCCAGCACCCCATATGATCCCCTGCGCACTAACAGAATTCCTGAGTGCAGAGCCAGGAGTAAGCCCTGAGCAGTACCAGGTGTGGCTCCAAAAAAACCAAACCAAAAAAATTTCAGCTGGAAAGTATGTTCCCTCCCATATTATTATTATTTGATTTTTAATGTAATTTTATTATTTTGCTCGTAATATTTTTTTCCACGAAACCAAGTCAAGACCCTTCCAGATCCTAATGCTCTGGAGCTGGAGCCCTAGTACACAGGTGGGAAGTTGCCTTGCGCAGAGCCGACACCAGATTCTATCCCTGGCACCCATGTGGTCCCACGAGCCCCTCCAGGAGTGATCCCTGCGTGCAGAGCCACGAGTCAGCCCTGAACGCTGCTGGGGGTGGACCCCAAACTAGCAAACCAAACCCAAGTCAGATCCTCCTGAGCCGAGGTCTCCTGAGCCCTCTGACCTGGCTGGGTGCCCCCCTCCCTCAGCTGCGGGAGCTGCAGTGCTCAGCCCTGGAGCATCGTGCGGCGCAGGCGGCCCAACGGGAGAGGCAGCAGCAGCAGTTCCTGGCAGAGCAGGTGCAGCTGCTCTGCATCAACTGCATGGTGGCCGTGGGGCACGGGAGCGACCTGCGGAAGGTGGAGGGGGCCCACCACGTCAACGTGAATGCCAACTTCTCGTGAGACCCGGAAGCGCGTGGTGGGGGGAGGTGGGCCGAGGGGGTGCTGAGACTCCCACTTCCAGATGGTGCTGTTTTGAGGGTTTGGAAACTGGGGGAATATTTTCACAGCCATCGGGTTTCCATTCACCAAGTGCCTGGTGGACATCTGCTCAGACTCAGACAAAGGGGAGCATCCGCCGCAACCCCAGATCTGGAAGGAAGGGTCGGAATGTGCAGGGCTGTGGTGAGGGGAGGGAGGCATTCTGGGGTCTCCTGGGAGAGAGGGGGTGCAGGTTCAGATGGAGGGCAGGCCCGACAGGGCAGCCTTTTCTCAGTGGCCAGCTAAGAGTCTTGGATAAATTTTGAGCCCGGGAATGCCAGGGTTGATCTGAGTTCCATCTTCAGATTGGAAAGCAGGCAGATGGCAGAGGATAGCAGGGGGCTGGGAGGAGGAATGGAGGCAGGGGGACCTGGTAGGAGAGGATGGCAGTCAGTGCAGCCTGAACATGGGCAAGAGGGAGTGGAGGTGGCACAGGGCACTCTAGGCCCTGGGGAGTCTCCACCTCATGACAGGCAGGAAGTTCTCTTTCTCGGGAGAAGGTTCAGCAAGTAGGTGGGCACAGAGCTGGGGCAGGGATGGGGTCCCTGAGGACCGTGCCCCCTCCCATTTCCCTCCAGGATCTACTACAATGTCTCCCAGCAGCCGGTGGTTATTGAGAAAGTCTTCAAGGACTGGACCCCCGGGGGTGTCATTAGTTGTAGAAACTGTGGGGAGGTAAGTTCTGGGACCAAAGTCAGTCTGACAGAGGAGGCCCCGCCTCTGCCGTCAGGGAGTCCTCTCTGGGGCCCGGGCAGGGGTGGGTAGTGGGGGCGTGTCACTGGGTGTCCTGGGCCTCAGAGGTGGGGCCTAGCCCTTGGCTCAGGGATCCTGCAGTGTGACAGATGCCCACATGCCATGGAGCCCATCTCGTGGAGAGAAGCCCATCTCGGGCACAGCCACTGACCCAGCTATCTGTGTCCTGCCCCCAGCTCTGGGGTCTGCAGATGATCTACAGGTCGGTGAAGCTGCCGGCTCTCAAGATCCGCAGCATGCTGCTCCAGACCCCGCAAGGGCGGATCCAGGCCAAGAAGTGGTCCCGTGTGCCCTTCTTGGTGCCCGACTTCAACTACTTGCAGCACTGTGCCCAGAGCCTGTCCTTGGACTGAGCGGCAATGCCCACCACAGGCTGCAGGGGGCAGCAGAGCCCACAGCAACCTGCTTTTCCCTTTTTTCCTGAGCTGCTGGCTCTGCGGGCCCCAGACTGCCCAGCCTATTGGACTCCCACTTGGAGGAAGCAATGGGAGAGCCACCTCTTCCCCCACCCCCCCAACACTTTCACAGGCACTGAATTAGGTGGGGGGCGGGAGATGGGTCAGGAACTCAGGCAGGTGTCTCACACTGGATGAAATTGGGTTAGGGAAACTGAGGCAGGCAATGCAATACACTGTCTCTGGCCCCTCCTTTTTCTGTTCAAGGTCACTTACATATATTAGGTTAACCCATAAATTTAAAAAGTAATAATAAAGGAAACAAACACTGTCCTGTTGTTCATCAATTTGCTCGAGCGGGCCCAGTAATGTCTCTGTATTTGGCATATTGAATACGTCTCAGGTAGCTTGCCAGGCTTTGCTGTGCTAGCAAGATCTCTTCAGATCATATAAATAAAGGAAATTAGTATATAAAATATGTTGTTTCGGAGGTGGGGGTGGTTAGGACCATACACAGCTATGGTAAGACTTAATCTTGGCTCCTGGATCATGCCTGGTGGTGCTCAGGGGACCATATGGCATGCCAGGGATCAAACTTAGGTTGCCTTACAGCGGGTAGGGCATTTGCCTTAGCAAGGGAAGTGCCCTACGCACTGTATTATCCATCTCCTGTAATTTTGTTCTTTTGGGGGGCCCCATCCAGCGGTGCTCACATTCTGTACTCAGGACTTTATCCCTGGCAATCCCAAACGGGGTGTTAGGGATCAGACCAGGGTCTGCTGCCTGCAAGGCAAGCACCTTACCCACTGTACTATCCAGCTACTACAATTCAGTATTTTTAATAAATGCTTTTCCACAATAATGAATGTAGCCACTGCTCATGTTTCCTCATTTGGGGGCTGGGGAGATCAGTGAGTGCTGAAGCATACAGTTTTCACGCAGGAGGCCTGGGTTTGATCCCTGGCTCTGCATGACCCCCCTGAGCACTGGGCCTGGAGTAGCCCCTGGCACCATTTGGTGTAGCCCCAAAATACTTTTTAAAAGATTGGGGGCAGGGGCCAGAGCAATAGTACAGCGGGTAGGGCATTTGCCTTGCATGCGGCCAATCCAGGTCCGATCCCTGGCATCCCATATATTCCTCCAGCACCGCCAGGAGTAATTCCTGAGCATCTCCAGGTGTGACCCAAAAAGAAAAAAAAAAAGATTGGGGGCAGGAAAGATAGTATCTTGCCTTGCATGTCGCTGACCTGATTTTGATCCCTGGCACCTATATAGTTCCGCAGTCCACTGGGAGTGATCCCTGAGCATATAGCCAGGTGTGGCCTAAAAAGCACAAATTGCTTATTTCTCGTTGTGCTTCCTCCCTCCTATCCCTCCGCATTCAGTGTTCTGTTTTCCATATTTTTAATCTGAAGGACACCCCCACTTGATGCTATTGTAGCCTTATTATCATCAGATTCTAAAATTGAAGCCCCTGGAGCATACGAGGCTTTCCAACCACATTACCCTCCCCCGCCCCCGCCCCCCCCCCCCACACACACACACAGGCCACAGGCTCTCTCCCCATCTTCCTCTCCCTGGACCGGGAGAGGCGGAGATACAGGTTTCAGGTGGGGCTCAGGTAGACATGGGGGTGGGTGAAGTTGTAAAGGCCTAAATTTTCTGCTCTCATTTCAATAAGCAGGAACGACAGGCAGGATCTAGGTTGATTCTTCAGGGAAAGGGCTATTTCTGTAGTGAGAGGCCTGGCAGGCAGGAGTCACCTTCAGGAAGAAGCGGGGCAGAGAGCTGAGAGCAGGAGAACGAGCCTCTGGCCCCATCCGGGCCCTGGTCCTGACCCGGGGTAGGTGGGAGATGATCACTCTACCCCTCTCCCCTTTTCCTTTTTTGGAAGCACACCCAGCAGTGCTCAGGGCTCTCTCCTAGCTCTGTGCTCAGGGATCACTCCCGGCAGTGCTGGGGGAACCATATGGGGTGCCCAGGATCAAACCTGGGCTGATCCCATGCAAGGCAAGGACCCCACCCACTGTCCTTTCTCCTTGCCCCCTCTTCAGTCCACTTGTCTAAGGATAAACCCTCCCCACTCACAATGTCTACACAAGGGCCCTCCCCGAAGGGCCCCTCTTCCTCATTCTTCAGTGACCCTTAGCCCTGGAGGCAGGAGTGCACCTTCCCCATTCTCCTCCTGGGAGCCCTTCTACCAGCTGGTCCCCACTTTGCCTTCAGTTCTCTCTCCCTGCCCACTGCGACGTGCTTTTTACAGGTCAATAAAATTAGCGACTGGGGAAAGCGAGAGGTGGGCAGGGGCCCAGGGCTGCTAAGCTCAATGGCCTTGAATGTGGCTGGATGCACGGAGGCCGGACGCCTGTCATTCCAGGGCTCAACAGTGACAGCTGAGGGACCTGCGCTGCTATGGGGGTGGAGGCTGTGTTGCAGAGAGAGAGAGAGGGGGGGGGGGAGAGAGAGAGATGGACAGAGGCTAAGGATGCCCTGGACACCTTAAGCACCCCCTAAGCCCTTCCACAGCTGACTCCTAGATGGAGATTTTATTTTAACTTGGGGGCCATGCCTGGCAGTGCTAAGGGCCTATCCCTGGCTCTGTACCCAGGGATCACTCCCTGCGGTGCTCTGGGGATCATGTGGTGTGCCAAGGATCAAACATGGGCCAGGCACAGGCAAGGCAAGCCCTACCTGCTGTACTATCCAGCCCCAACTTTAAAAGTTCTCCTAGGTCGCATACACTCTCCCAGGCTCGAGACAGAAAGGGGAAAACGAACAACAACTTGCTTTTAGTGAGGGGGAGGTCTTCATATGAAACCACTATCTGTGCCAGTGCAGTAGTACAGCGGTAGGGCGTTTGCCTTGCACGCGGCTGACCCAGGTTCGATCCCCAGCATCCTATATGGTCCCCATCACTGCCAGGAGTAATTCCCGAGTGCAGAGCCAGAAGTAACCCCTGAGCATCGCTGGATGTGACACCCCCAAAAAAAAAACAACCGAAGAACATAAGAAACCACTATCTCCCGGGCTTCTGAGCAAGGCTGCCTGAAGGAGGGAGGCTTGTGAGATCTGCTGGACCCCGATGTCCTACGTGGCTAGAAGGCGTAAAAGCTAGCTGAGCTCCAGCTGCCGGGAACATTTCCCCTTAGCCTGCACCTGAGCGCGGCGGGCCGGGAAGGCCCTGGAGGGGCGGGGCTAAGGGTTTGGCCTCGCCCCGGCCCCGCCCCGGCCCCGCCTCCCGCGCGCCCGCAGCCCCGGAGCTGCCCAGCGCCGCGAGAGCAGGTGGCTGCCGTGCGCTGCTGCGTCTCCGTCCGGCAGGTAAGTGAGCGGCCGCGGGCTGGTCCACGCCGGGGACCTCGAGGGCAGCGCGAGAGAGCAAGACAGCCCCCCTGCCACCTGTCCTGTGCCGTCTTCTCGAACCCGGGAACCCTCCCAGGGGACAGGCAGGACCTCACAGGGCTCTGCGCACACTCTCTGGGCGTCTGGACCGGGCCAACGAACTCAGGGGAAGTTTGGAGAGCCCGGGGCTGGCTGTCCCTGCCGCCCCGCGGGCTCCGGGCAGTGGGGACAGGCGGACCCCCGCAGCAGGGTCGGCTCTCCCCGGCACAGTGGGGCGCAGGTGGTGGTCATTGCGGGGTTCCGGAGCCCCAAGCCTCGTCCAGTTCAGCATCCTCTCACCCCCTTGGAGAGGGATGGGGAGTCCTTAGGGGCTGCTGTGGTGTGGGCAAAGGAGACGAGACCCACTGCACAGCGGAGTTGAGGAGTTAGGACCAGCAGTGTCCTTGACGTACATCTGAGTTCAAGTGGACGTGCGTGAGGGGGACGTAGAAGCAGATGATTCCCCGAAGAGCTGACGGAACTAGCCGCTCTTTTCTCTGCCCTTGCCTCAGGGGCCTGCGTAGAAGTGGGTTTTACTGCGCGTGCACCCTCTCGGGTGGAACTGAGGCTACTAGAAAGATACCCTGACCCCCAGGGCCTCCAGGAAGGCTTCCTGGAAGAGCAGGTCCTAGGGGCTGGTAGACTTGAACCTTGATGCTGGCCTGGGGTAGAGTCAAGACCAGCCCTCGAAGCTCCCTGTGTCTGCGTGAGTCGGGGACCCTGGCTGTTCCCATTGAGCTCATGGCAAAGGTTTCTTCTTTTCTGACCTTCTTCCCAGTGTGTCCCGGCTGCCTTCTTGCGTCTGGGAGTCAAAGTTGTTGCTATGGGACAAGGCAGTTCTTTGGGTAAGGTAGATTTGATTTTTTTAATTGTTTGCTTGTTTGGGGGTCACACCTGGCGAAGCTCAGGGTTTACTCCTGGCTCTGCACTCAGGAATCACTCCCGGACGCTGTTGGGATGACCATATGGGATGCCGGGGATCGAACCCTGGTCGGCTGTGTGGAAGGCAAGCACCCTTTCTGCTGTAATATCTCTCCAGCTCCCCTTGACTTGATTTCCACCACCTCTGCTTTCAGTGGGATCTTGGATATGTATTTTTCTTTTCTTTTTTTCTTTTTTTCTTTTCCCCTTTGGTGTGTGTGTGTGTGTGCGGGACCATTCCCAGCAGTGTTCAGGGCTTACTCCTGGCTCTGTGCTCAGGGATCACTCCTGACAGGGCACTGGAGATCTTAGGTGGTGCTGGAGATTGATCCTGGGTCAACCGATTGCACTGTATAATCTCTTCGGTCCTTTGGACATGTCTCTTAATGTCTTAGAGTTCGCTTCCTCTCCTGTGAAATGGGAATAATTCTGACCCCTGCCACCGTGGGGTGACTGCAAGGAGTGACTGAGAATCACACAGCACCTGGCGCCCGGCTCCTATGTAGGACAGCGCAGCCCATCAGTGCCTTAACCCCATTCCTTACCGGCCCCGCCCCAACCTGCATTGCGTAGGATCCCTTGCTGCCTATCCAGGAAGAGGAGTGGGGTGCCCATCAGGCCAGGGACCAGTGTTAGTGGAACCCCATGAGGAATTGTAACCCCAGGGGACAAAATGCTGGTTTTGAGATCCAGTGTGGGGAAATGCCATCTTCTCATTCCCTCCCTGCCCTCTCCCCACTCCCTTCTAGAAATCTCCCAGTTGGAACCAAGCGTGCAAAATTTTTCCAGGAAGATAAATAGTGCAAGTGACTGAAGGTCTTGTTTGGGTCTGCCCTCCCATGGAAAGATAGATTCAGTGGCTGGCTTGAGCCCCGGGGGCTGCCGGGGAAGGACTCTCCATAAAGCACTCCTAAACCTGGGCAAGACAGGGGGTGCCCAGGACTCTGATCTGGCCGTGCTCTGGTCTCCAGGTAGATGAGGTGGCGCAGGCGCAGGGAATGAGCCCCTGAACCCCACTGGGACCAGAGTGTCCACTCAGCTGCTGTTTTTCCAAGGCCCTGCAAGCTGCCCAGGTCCTGTTCTCCTCACTCTAGCATGAGCACCCCAAGATCTAAAAGGCCACCGAGGAGCTGTTAGTCGGGGGTGAATGCGGATCGAGGAGGGGGTGCTCGTACCCACCTCGGGCTCTGAGTCCTCATAGAGCAGGAAGGAGCTGGCGTTGGAAGGTTCGGGGTGGTGGTTGCAGCTTCCTTCTCATATAGCCTTGTTCTGCAAAACTCCCAGTGGTGAGAGAAAAAGACCGTGGAACCTTCCTACAGGATGTTACGAAGCTGTGTTTGTTCAGAGGGAAGGTTCGAACATAATGAGATGGACATATTCATTTGTTTTTCCAGCTTGGGGCCACACTGGGCGATGCTCAGGGGCTATTTCTGGCTCTGTACTCAGGGATCACTCCTTGGTGGTGCATGGGGGACCCTGTGGGATGCTGGAGATCGAACTTGGGTCAGCCGTGTGCAGGGCAAGTGTCCGCCCCACTGTACTATTTCTCCAGCCCCATGGAACGAACATTTTGGTTACCTGCTTTTTCACTTTGGGTGGGGGCACACTTGGCAGTGCTCAGGGCTGACTCCTACCTCTGTGCTCAGGGATCACTCCTGGTGGGGCTCCAGGGACCATATGGTACGTGAATTGATCCAGAGTCTGCCATTACAAGGCAAGTGCCCTGTCCACTGTGCTATCCCTCTGGTCCTTAACACTGCTTAGACAGGTACGGGGTCCCCCTGCTGTCTTGTTAGAGGTAGGCCTGGCAGCCCCAGACCCAAGCTGCCCTTTGTAGCATTTCTTCCTGCTCTCTCCCTCCCCCAATATGAAAGCCCCCCCCAACCCTGAGCACAGGACACGTGCCCCTGGACCAGGAAGGTATTTCAAGGTGAAGTGAAGAGTGTCAGCTGTCACCAGACGCTCGCCCCTTGGGCCTGCTGACCTCATTCTCCTCCCAAAACTGGAGCAGTATTGAAACGAATCCTGAAATGCTCGAGGAGAGAGTTGGGCTGAGGGAAGGCTGGTTGATCCCGACAGTGCGGTGGGAAGAGCAAGGCGGGGGGCACCCAAGGAGGCTGCAGCGGGGCCGCTCAGAGCTGAACCCCAGTCTCCTTCTTAGAGGCAGCCAAGCCCCACGCCCGGGAGGGGTCTTGTGTCTGTGCGGTGGGTATGGTGCTCTGGTCGGGGGAGCAGGTGAGAGCCAGCTGGCCGGGTGCTGAGACTCACCCCTGGGAGGCAGTGACACGCGAGTCCCCTCGGCATGGCGCGCCCTGTGGCACCTGTGTCACCTTCTGTTTGGAATAGCCATGTGGCCTATGTGGCCTGAGGCACTTGATGCAACCCCCCACCCCCCGGCCCTTGCACTGTTCTCAGACACTCACCCACCATTGATGCCCCCGTATTGCCAGTGACTCCCCACTGCACACCTGGCCACCTTGGGTGTGGCACCCCCTGCTCCCTCGCCAGTGCCTACTGTGACCACACAGTCCCCAGTGGTCTTCCTTCTCCTTGGGTGCCTGCCAGCTCCTGCCACCGGGGCTTGGCTTTTTTGAGTATGGGGGTAGAAGAGAGGGGTCACAGGGGTCTCTGGTGCTGGGGACAGAAGGAGGCCACGCTGCACAAACCCCATCCTCTCTGTGTTCTGCAGTCCCAGTCTCTAGCCGGAAGGTGGTCAGTGCCCACCCTGGGCTGGGCACCCCTGCCCATGACTTTCTGCCTTTTTAAAAAAAAAACTTGAGTATATTTTCTTGGCCTTTTACATTTATTTATTTATTTTTGCCATGCTCGAGCGGGCCCAGTAACGTCTCCATTGGAGACTTTGTTGTTACTGTGTCTGGCATATCGAATACTCTCGGTAGCTTGCCGGGCTCTCCGAGAGGGGCGGAGGAATCGAACTCGGGTCGGCCATGTTGGCCGCTTGGTAAGGCGAACGCCCTACCCGCTGTGCTATCGCTCCAGCCCATCTCCCTGCCCCCCCACCATATCCCATCCTACCCGGGGTCTGTCTCTCTCTTTCTCTTTATATTTTTCTTCCTGGTTTGGGGAGATTTTTGCCATCTCCCTGCCCCCCCACCATATCCCATCCTACCCGGGGTCTGTCTCTCTCTTTCTCTTTATATTTTTCTTCCTGGTTTGGGGGCCACATCCAGCGATCCTCAGAGCCTGGTGATCCCCAAGCTGTGTGCTCAGGAATCACTCCTGGAGGGCCTCGGGGGACCATACAGGGTGCCAGGGATAGGACCAGGGTGGCTGCATGCAAGGCAAATGCCCCACCTGCTGCTTTATTGTTCCCTCCCCTGTGTGTGTCTCTGTCCTCTGTCTCACTGGGCCTTGGACACCTCTCTCGCGGGCCTCTGGGTCCTGTCTAGACACCCTCACTTCCAGGTGTGTCTCTTTGGCTCTCTCTGTCTTACTCTCAGGAGGCACCCCAGGGGACAGGGCACCCAAATGTCTCTAAGTGTGTACGTGAAGGTGGCAAAGCCATCAGGGCATGGCAGGGGTCGGGTGGGGGTGCTGCCCTCTCTGGACTCTTACTGCAGGGGAGGACAGGGAAGGGGAAGATCGGGCTCTGTCTGCAGAGGACAGGAGTTGACCTGTGTCCCCCAGCTCCTTGCTGAGAACTGGAGAATGGGATGCTTCAGCCCCCCCCCACTCAGAAATCCTTTTGTTTGTTTTGATTTGGGGGCCACACCCAGAAGTGCTCAGTGGTTACATTTGGCTCCTGGCGGGCTCAGGGAACCATAGGGGGTGATGGGGATCAAACTTGGGTCAGCAGCGTGCAAGGCCAGCTCGCTGCCCCGTGCTGTCATTCAGGCCCCTTGACTCAGAGGAAACCTCCTTCTTCAGCATGAGGCCAGGATCACGCAGGTGGGGTGCGGGACCGAGAGTTCACGGTCATGGGGAATGACGGCCCCATCGGAGGAGCTCAGCGGGTTGGCCCGGAGCCAAAGGAAGGGTGCTGGCGGTTGGGGTGGGGG